TTAAAAGGTACAGCAAGACAACAACCTGTGATAAATAGTAAAAGCATGAAAAGAATCGACATATTTGGTCATTTTTCTACAAAAAAAAAAACTAAATGATGTAGGCTATGCTGCTCAGTCTTTATAAATTTTTCATATTTCCTACATTTTCAATAGAGCTTCAAGGACATATTGGAGAGGTGAGCAAGTTTACTCCCGTTAAAGTCCCTCCACCCCCCCAGTATTGAAGTTAAGCAGTGCTGACCTCTGAATGTACTTCCAGAGCCCAGGACATGAACCAAGAACCAGAAACCGTTCAAGGAGGGCTTATTGATACTGCACAATACCTGGGCAATTTGAAGTTCACAGTGTGGTCGAAAATAAGACAGTCTATCAGTTACAGTGAGTTGATTTATGAAATTTTCATGCACAATATAAAGCGTTTCTTTAGTGAAGCTGATAAGCAATTAACAAACAAAAGGAAAAGTCTTAAAAATCTAGTTTAAAAAACAAGTTCCTAGAAATGTACTCTTAGTATTCATGTTTGTTTCATGATTTTGAAAAATGTTTATATAATTTTAAGGAAACGTTTCAATTTAATGGTAATCATAGAAAATAATGACCTTTTTTCTTTACACATTGAATATGTGCAGTTCTTAATCATTATTTTCACAAATCAGTATTTTTTTAAATAGAATAGTTGGCCCAAAAATTTAAATTTGCTGAAAATGTACTCACCCTCAGGCCATGGAAGAGGAAAAGAATTGTTGAAATTTAGCATTACATCACTTGCTCACCAATAGATCCTCTGCAGTGAATGGGTGCCGTCAGAATGAGAGTTCAAATAGCTGACAAAAGTAATCCACACGACTCCGGTCCATTAATTAAGGTCTTGTGAGATGTAAAGCATGTCTGTAATAAATGCATCAAGATGTTTTTAACTTCAAACAGTTGCTTTCAGCTAAAATATGAGGGTGTCTCTCGTCTGAATCAGGAGAGAATTGTTCACAGATCAAGCACCATTTATAAGCTAAAACATTCCAGAACAGTTGTAAACAAATATGTTGGTGAATTTTGATGTGAGAGGACAACAGGGGATGGACTTTTTTTGCACTGAAGGAAGCATTATAATGAATTCTGGAGTTGTGTTTTGGCAGCGACCGTTTAAAGTTAAAATACCTTAATGATGGATTTGATTACAAACTGGCAGCTTTTCACTTGACAATCCGCTTGTTCAGTCTGACGTCACATGTCACTGCTTCCGGGTCCAATCGCTCTCAGATTCCACAAGAAAACAACAAGCAATGCTAATATACACTCAGTGTGATAGTTGTTTAGACATACATCATCTGATGCTACTTGGACACGTCTCCAGGATTACTGACGTTTTTATCAGCAACCATTCACTGCAGAGGATCCATTGGTTAGCGTGCATTGGTGTTGTAATGCTAAATTTATCCAAATCTGTTCCAATGAAAAAACTAACTTGTTTACATCCTAGATGGCAAATTTTCAGCACATCTTCATTTTTGGGTGAGCTATTCCTTTAAAATACATTTTCAAGGTAAAGGCTATTTTTACTGAATTCATATTATTACTTACTAAATATTAAGTATGGGTGGGAGTCACACCTGACATTTTACAGCCTAAACTAACCTGACATGGTCCTAGAAAGGTCAAATCATCGGATTCTTTAGTTTACAAGACTTGTTGACACTGACACAGTTATGAGGGTCTACAGAGGTCCTCTCTGATATTTCCAATTTTCTTTTGGACCACATGATTATGATTTGGCAGTTTTTCAAACATTAAAGGGGTCATATGATGCGATTTCAAGTTTTCCTTTCTCTTTGGAGTGTTACAAGCTGATTGTGCATAGATAAGATCCCTGAAGTTGCAAAGACTAAAGTCTCAAAACCAAAGAGATATTCTTTATCAAAGTTAAGACACTGCCACGCCCCCTATGCAAACACATACCAGCTTCATCACTGTGTCTGTCACGCAACTCTGTTCCCCTTTCGGGCTTGAACTGATGGTAAAACTAATGACATTATTTACTGTCTTTACATTTATTTTGAAAGATAAAGCTCGCAATTATGGTAAGGGGCTTTACTTTACCGACGAGTGCTTGCGGTGTTCGGCCAATCACAATGCACTGGGTCAGTTGGCCAATCAGAGCAGACTGCACTTGTCGGAAGGAGGAACTTTGTAAACGAAGCGTTTGAGAGAGGCGGGGCATAGATGACCTACAATAATGTACAGTTTTGAAAAATAATGTGTTTTTTTTAACATTAAAGCATGTCAACATATTCTGTTACACCAAATACACAAAATAATGATCTTTAAAAAAGCATCATATGACCCTTTAATAAGCAGTAAAGCAATTTTATTAAAATGCTGGTTTCTAAGCATCGATTGATTACATTTATAATGCAACGTCTTAGTAATATTCTCTGTTTTCAGCTCCTGTGGTGCTCGACCCAAACACCGCTAACTCTCAACTTATACTGTCTGAAGATCTGACATGTGTGAGGGACCGAGATGAGCAAGAGGAGGAGGACGTAGATGGTGTGCAGCTTCCTGATAACCCGGAGAGGTTTGATCGGTGTCCCTGTGTTCTGGGCTCTGTGGGCTATTCCTCAGGGACACACATTTGGGATGTGGATGTGGGAGATAGCACTTTCTGGATGCTGGGTGTCACTACAGAGTCTGTCAAGAGAAAAGGAACCAACAGCTTGCCCAGCGAGGTCTGGTGCATCGGCTATGACAGCGACACGCTCAGTTTGAAGGCTCCTCAGGAGTCATGCATCCCTTTCCTTGGGTGTGAGAAACCAAAGCGAGTGAGAGTGAAACTCGATTTAGATGAAGGACAGCTTTCATTCTCAGATCCTCTCAGCAAATCACTCTATCACACATTCACAACCAGTTACACGGAGAAGGTCTTTCCGTTCTTCTGCAGTCTGTGCAGCGTCTCTCCTCTGAGGATTCTGCCTGTGGTCAAGCTCTCGAATTAAAAGAGAGAGAAAGTCTGTTTAAAAGTTTTTGTAGGTTTGTCATGATGTCTTTCTGAAAATTTGTAAGGTAATAGAAAAACAGTGCAAATTGACTGGTGATTTATCTTCTTGAACTTTGATTCCATGTTCTTTGCAGGTTTTTTTTTTTTTTTTTTAAGTAAATTCAAGAAAATTGTATATTCAGTTTTCAAAAGTTAATTTGGTTTACAATCGGAAAAATTGGTACATTTTATACAAATAAAGTGTCATTACTATAAAGTTCACTGTGATAAATCTTTATTACTTTTGAATGCACCGTCTCTTGTTTGCATGTTAGTGAGATGAGAGAAATAGTTATAGTATTAGAATAGTTCTAAAAGAAGTGGCAATAATATCTGATGAAAACAGAAACGGAGACCATACACTTGATCATAGTCATAGTAAAAGGAACAATTATTAACAGCAATGATTTGAAAAGATACTAGTCATAAGTCAACAGCTGATATCTGCACCACACACATATGTATTATATTAATATTATATTCAAAAGAATATTATAAAAAATTATATTAAATCTATTCTGCAAAAAAATCACGACATTTGTAATGTTTACTCGGTATTATATTTAGAAAATATAAATTAATGTATATATCAGATGTATTTTACATGTTGCATTTACATAATATATACAGAATTATATCAAAATGAATTTTAACATTGTTTACTAAATAAAAAATTTATTATATTTAAATATATATTTAGTTATTGCAGTTTTTGAACTTTCTTTTGAAAATATGAGCTATTGAAATTTCTGATTTAACAATTCAAAATGTATTGTGGTTAATTAATACATCCTCACAACCATTTTCCGTGAATTGAAAGTTTGGAAAACAAGCTTTGTCATAATTACAGCAGAAATAACAGAGGATATGCCTTCTATTGAGGGGCCTTGGGATATTGTGTTGGACAATGGGAGGCCTTCAAATCAAAAGGTTACCAGCCACTATTGTAAGATAATGGACCTTTATCACAGCGGAATTGACTACCGGAAGTGCCCGTCGAAGCAGTGTATCGATTCTTCCGGTTATGTATATTTTTCAATATGCTGTAATCACTTAGTAGTTGAATAAAAGCCTTGTTAAAATGAGCATCTGCAGGATGATTTCAAACTCCGGATTTTCAGAGACAAGCGAAGAGATATTCTGATGATTACTGTGCACAGGATTTTCCAAACTCAATGGAACTTGTAGTTTTAATCCAATGTAGCGTTACCGATTTCACCACACTGTCAGTGCTCGTTTAAATAGTGACTGCGATGCTGCATTGTGTGTGAGACTGATGAATAAGATCAGAATGAACATATTTATTAATTTGTATGAAATTTTAGTCATTATTCTGTCATTTTTCATTGATAGTCATTTCACTGTATATAATATTTATGCCAAAATTCTTAATTAATAGTCAAAGTCACGCTGTCAACGCGTTATACTGTTTAAAATTAATTAGCCAAAATGTTCAACATTGTAAAATTTCTTTAAGGCAACGCCCGCGCATTCATTCATCTATTTTAATACGGCTCTTACGAAAATTAGCCATGGTATGTGTAGTAAAACGGTGGCAATCAGAACGCGGGGGAAAAAACATGGTTGCTACATATTTACTATAGTAAAACCATGGTAAATGTTTGTATGGGTGTTTATCAGTCAAATTAATTTAAAAATGTAAACAGGTATGAAATATGATCAGTAAGAGTACAACATTGTTAATGAGAAGACGAACTTGACTGCGGCAGGTTAGTTGGGAAATAAATGTATTTGTTCAGAATGCACATTTGGAAGGGAAATATATTAACAGGAACATTTCAGCAGGTGACATGAGATGTAGCGCTACAGCAACACCAACGAAAGAAAGGATATGGAGGACTCTCCCATTAGTTTTGACTGCGTTGCGACGGGACCGGAAGTGGCGATACACTGCTTCACTTACCGGAAGTGCGATTAAGGTCCATTGACAATACTGGACAGGAGATGGCGGTCTAATCCATCTTTCTATAGGACAGACCAGCACCGTCTGTTACTGGCATTGAAATGGTTAAACTGGTGGAGTTGACGCTTTTTGTCGTCGTTGTTTCGAGTCGAGTTGGGGGAAAACAGCGGCAACGCGGAGATGCTGAGCGCAGGGTTTTTCTAGTCGCCCATCGGTGTTCGATGACATGAGCAGATTTGCTAAAACACCAAATTATGGCAGGGAACCTCAGCTGCTACGAGTCTCTAGATACTCCTGCCGCCGCATAGAAAACCCGCATTGTTGAGCAAAATCCTTGTAACCGTGAGCAGCAATAATGCGAGGCGCGGACAGCAGCAGCAGGTCTGCCGTGATTGTGCTCTGCCTGCTGGGATGCGATTTATGGACGGCGGCCGCTAAAACACCGCAGGAGAACAGCGATGCCAAAGGTACGAGACACGCCGTTTACACCCACGAATGCATCACTCCTGTGTAGGTTTATAAAGATCTTGATAAGAGATTTGGAAGCTTTGCTTTGGCTTTTTGGATGGCATTCCCTGTGCTAACTGTTAGCAACCTTAGCATATAATAACGCAAAGTGTGTAACGTAACGGCCATAACGCGAAGACATGTCTTATCAATTAAATCGTTTTTAATGTAATATTGACGTAATTAACAAGGCAAACTTTGTTAAATGTTAGTAGTTCGATTGATCTGGTGTTTTGTAACTCTCAAGCCATCTGTTTGAAATCGGATCTCATTTTGTGATGCCTGTCGTTGCAACAAGCATCACTGCAGCTTCCAACGCACATGAACCAAGTGGCGCGTATGTCATTTTCTGTAGGTGAGACCGAGGAGTGTTACACTTTTTTGGGTCTGTTTCTCAGTGTTTTTGAGGCTCATTTGTTTACAACTTTGATAGAACATTCCCATATTTATATGATACAACTTACAGTAGTTGAGAAATCTACAACGTTTTTATAAACTGTAAAAATTAATGGCAAATACAAAGAAGTGCTATTGTCACAACCGGTCCACTATTGTTATTTTTTGCGTTTTTTGCATGAATTAATTCAATAAAAAATAGAATATATATCATATTTTTATTCTAATAATATATGTCCATGTATTAAAGAGCTAACATTACTCTCCTTGTCTGATCAGTCATGATATATCTATTTTTTTACATGTATATCATTTATAATGTATGTCAAATTTAACAGGAGAACCCATCCATTAGACATTCATTATTAGACATATACTTTCTTACCTCAAAATTGGTTTCTTTTCTTTTTTCTCTAAGTCCTTTGTTTTTATAGAGAGGCTTAGAAACTGAGAAGCTTAAAGACGTTGTAGTGATTTCACCCATCATCTTGTTAATTTCTAAGATATTTCTGAAGTCTTAATGGATCTTGTTTATGTATGCCTTGGCCCGTGATGGTTTTATTATGAGATTATTTCAGGCTTCTGACTATTTCTGACTGCTTTAGTCTAAATGATCTCACTAATGTATAACGTAATGCAATATTAAGTGTCTGTGCATTAAGATGTCAATGTGCCGGCGAGGAAGGAAATTGATAAGTCGTTTTCATATCACTAATTCACATTTGACATTTACGTAATCCTGATATCACGTTGAATAATTTGAGGTGAAGCATGGGTGTCAGGTTGTAAAAACCTGCTTAAAAGATATGGTTGGCAAAGCTTACCTCTTGACAGCAGATTGATTTAGCAGCTCATAGACTGCCAGTTTGGTTAAATCCTCCCTGTCTGAGCTTATAATGCGAGGAATCCCCTTAAACCCCCTCCTCTCTCCTGATGGAGTGTCCTCCTCCCCCCCCATCTCCTGCTGATGAGCAGCGGCAGCACAGATGGGTCTGCTGCTTTCTCTTCTTTAGGACAGTAGACTGGCACATTGTATGCTTTGAGTATGCAAAATAGGGCTTTCCTGCCTTTTGTCTGGGCTGTGCCACTTCCTCATCTCTGGGATCTGAAAAGGGAATGCTGTGTGTGAGGCCTTGACACTGTATAGTCAGGCCTGGAGTGAGTTTTGCCATGCAGCTTTAAATCTTATTGGCTGTATTTTTTTTTATCTTCATTTCTTAGTTGGAATGTAGTTTATGCAAAGCTTTGGATTTAGTTACTATTAATGTGTTCTATTTTTATGCTCCACATTGTTTAATAAGTTATAGCTTTGTCAGATTATTGTAGTTAATATTAATAAAAATGCAATATTGTGAATCTCAGATGACTTGAAGAGTGATCTCTGCCTGGTTTTTCTAATAAAACCAAATTTAATGTCATATTTATTTGCTTTTCATATGCTAGTCTTTGCTTTTATAGGCTAATCTTTATTTAATTGTTGCTACCATTTAACAGGTTCTTATTTTGAAAGAAAGGGAATGATCTATCTTTATAAAGAAGTTTAGGGTCATTTGGAGTTTTTGAACTTTATATATTATTTAACTTCATATTGACATCAGTAATATACTGTTTAACAAAGTAGTTCAATATACAGTACATATACACACTACTGTTCAAAAGTTTGAAGTTAGTAAGACTTGTTTTTTTATAAATACTTATATTCAGCAGATATGCAATAAATTTATCAAAAGTGACAGTGAAGACATTTATAATATTACAAACAATTTCAGTTTCAAATATATGCTGTAAGTTCTTTTGAACTTACTATTCAACAAAGTTTCCTGGAGAAAATAAAACATCAGTTTCTACAAAAATATTTAGCCACACACCTGTTTTCAACATTGGTAATGATAAGAAATGTTTCTTAAACACCAAATAAGCATATTAAAATTATTTCTGAAGGATCATGTGACACTGAAGACTGGAGTAATGATGCTGAGAATTCAGCTGTGCCATCATAGGAATAAATTACATTTTAAAATATATTCAAAAAGAAAAGATTTTAAATTGTATTAAAGGGGTCAAAGGGGGAAAACTGAGTACTTTTACTTTTACTGGAGTAATATTTTATTATACGTATCTATACTTTTACTCAAGTACTTGATTTGTGTACTTCGTCCACCACTGGCATTAATAAATGGCTCCTAAAGGTCTTTATGAATCTTTTTGACACTGAAATTAGTACGGTACAATGGGGCTAAAGGCACACCTTAAGAAACAAATGTGCTATTCACTGCACTTAAAATGTATAATTACAGAAAAATATATATGTTTGTATTAAACATTAATGGAGCAACAGATTTTGTGAGAAAATAAATAATTCAAGTTTTTAATTTTGTTTAAAAATCTTATAAATGTATGAGGTGGCAAGGGGGGCCTTTTACCCCACACACAGGGTAAAAGGCACACAGTATTTATACAAATACTTCTGCTAAAATGTTTTTTTTTTTTTTTTACTAATGTCTGTTAATACTAGTTCAAAACAATCACTTTACCAAAGTTTGTACTATTTTCTGCTTATTTTGAAAAATAAAATAATACGTTTTTGTTCAATAAATATACTGTCATTAAAATGTTAATATAAAAATATATTTAAAAATACAGAAACAAAATCATTTGAATAAGTAAAGATTCTGAAAGCACCGAAGGAGATCCAATAATATTTGAATATATTTACAGTAGCAACATCAAATGATATTTTATTATATGATATGATTAATATTAGGGGTGGGCGATATGAGCTAAAATTCATATCACGATATTTTACACTGTCCAGGCGATATAGATATTATATTGCGATATGAGAAAAAAAATTACAGGCAAGATATTTTAACCTTATATAATTAGAAAAAGTGAGGGATTGGACATAGACCTGAAAAGTCTTTTTTTTTTTTTATTGTGCCATTGTTTTTCCACTGTTTGTGTTTGAGTAGGCCAGTGGTTCCCAAACTTTTTCTGCCGGGCCCCCCTTTTGTAGAGAAAAATATTTTCAAGGCCCCCCACCCCCTTATTTTTATTTTATTTTTTGGAAAGTCTCTTATGCTCACCAAGGCTACATTTATTTACAGTAAACTGTAATATTGTGAAATATTGTCAATTTAAATTATCTATTTGAATGTTTTAACATATAGGCTACTGTATTCCTGTGATCAAAGACGAATTTTTAGCATCATTACTCCAGTCTTCAGTGTCACATGATCCTTCAGAAATCATTCTAATATGCTAATTTGCTGCTTAGTAACCATTTCTGATTATTATCAATGTTGTAAACATTTGTGCTGCTTAATATTTTTGAGGAAACTACTGTATTTTTTCACGATTCTCTTATGCATATTTGAAATTGTTCTTTGTGTTAGAGCGCTGGAGTTCGTCAGAAATAGAACGCGGCATTAGTTTACTGTCATGGATTTGTCGCGTCGCACCGCATCCACAGCAGAGAACATCACTGGGTTCTATTTGCTTTTGTCAAATCGCGCCGCTCATGTCTAGTGTAGACACCTTGTTTTGGTATTTGTGAATCTTAAGTATATTCATAATCTGCTTTACGTTTACCTGGCACTGGAAGTCCTTTCACAAACTTGTAACTTTCATGCTTCGAGCAGAACCATGCATCATTCATTTATATTTCTACATGGCTCCCTGCAATACAACTGTGATTCTTCAATCGTGTCATCTAGTGGTCTGTTATTAATACAACCACAACTGCTACAACTGATAACAGAGCGCTCAAGCGGGTACTGCGAGTCATGATGAGGTAATTAAAATGTCAAATTAATATTTTGCATTCCATTATTTACTTATCAGGCAAGTGGCCGCATGATAAGCTGTAAAATTACGCAGTGTAGTCTTTATCACCCTGCAGAGGTTTCTTTTGCAAAATAATCTGCTGACTGTACACGATCCCTCAGTTTTGGAACCATTGGAGTAGGCAATTTGTGCTCTATTAATATGGTCTGTTACGATGCTCTGTGTTTGATTACTAATGCCTGTGTAGTAAGGCGTTGCACACAGAGTACAAAAACGTTCAGCCTCGACTCTTTATCGTCATTTGTGTTCAAATTTGCAAAGCGTACCAAATTTAACAAAATAATATAAATGCAAAATTTGAATTCATGAATATATAACTGTATCCACGGTTTAGCAAAATCCATATCATGGAACAACATAATACCGGTTGTCACTTTCATACCGGTATAGCGCTCACCCCTAGGTATCTACATGTTTACCTGGCTGACCTCAGATCATTAACGTGAACAGAGCGCTCAGTGTGAGGCGGGATCACATTAGCGATAATGAGGTGAGACAGGAGAAACTGTACGTCTCCGTACTTTCATACGGATTGTATAATCAGAGAATATTTGTTTTCAATTTGAATTGGTTTATTTAAAAGTAGACATTTCAAGCTTTCTATACATATATGTATTAATGTATGTGAGGCACATATTCACTGAGATGCAAGTTGTTTTATTCATGTGCCTGTGAAGAAAGCTCCCAGAGACCGAGACGGCAGAAAGCTCACCCTGTTTGTTTTCTTTATTTTACAAAAGCACATTGTTTTGTTGTTATTAATATATACAAAAATTAAAAGTAGACCCTTTGCAGTATCAAATGATGCCATACTCGTATCTGTATTTTTAGTTCTTTTCGTGGTCAAGAAAACGTGACAAAATGCACCGGCGCGGTCTTCGACCCTAAAGATTATTTTCTAATCATTATTGGTACACAATATTGTCGCTATCCATAATACATTTGCATTTTAGAAATACAACATATTGTGACGCAATATATTGTTATTATACCCCTGCATTGTTTTGAATGTTGAACAATTGTATCAACATATGTATGTATATTCTATATACCGCGATCCAACAGAGGATAAGAGGTACGGAGAATGGATCAGTTTTTATAGGGAAATACTGCCTTAGTTAAATGTTTAGCCATGTCACTACTGATTTTTGAACTAGGCTAATCAATCATGTTAACAACTTTACAGCACTTATTGTGAATTTCACTGACATTGTAGCAGTAATGGTTAATTATAGATATAGTAAGACAGAAACTCACCTGTTCCCCTCTCATGTTGGTCTGCTGTATTCTCTGAAAAGGTAAACCGGTGTTTCGGGTCTCGGAAGACTAGCATAAATTGACCGACAGCGCCATCTGCTGTTTTTGGAAAAGGAAGTTGCTCAATTGCATTTGTGAGTATATTCTATATACCGCGATCCAACAGAGGATAAGAGGTACGGAGAATGGATCAGTTTTTATAGGGAAATACTGCCTTAGTTAAATGTTTAGCCATGTCACTACTGATTTTTGAACTAGGCTAATCAATCATGTTAACAACTTTACAGCACTTATTGTGAATTTCACTGACATTGTAGCAGTAATGGTTAATTATAGATATAGTAAGACAGAAACTCGTCTGTTCCCCACTCATGTTGGTCTGCCGTATTCCCTGAAAAGGTAAACGGGTATTTCGGGACTCTGGAGACTAGCGTAAAATAAATTGACCGACAGCGGTTCGAGTTTTTGGAAAAGAAAGTTGCTCAGATGCATTTGTGAGAAAATCAAGCCAAGTTTCTTCATGAAAAGGCAAATGAGTCTCACAGTTGTAACACACAATACATATATTTGTCCATACCTCTGCATTTTCTCTCAAATAGAGTTTTGTATTTGCAAATCACTTTACGTTTGTTTGAAAGTCGAGTTTTTCTTTGCAAAGCAGATTGTGTTTATCTGCAAAACGCTGGATTTGTTTGATGAATATTGGCACAAAATTCACTTCATAGCGACAACGATCAGACAAATATACACGTGCATCTTGAAAAGCGAATGTTTCTGCAAAGTAGTATGCCACGTTTTTGTGCCATCTAGTGGTTTAGATGTAAATAATATCAAAGGCGCCTTTAGCCCCGTTGTACCCTACATTTATGTAAATATGTGTTACATGCATGTCATCACTTGCAATTCAAGTGTGGTAATGTTTGTAATTTGTTTTTGGTCTGTCTGGTGTTTTTTTTTTTTTTTTTTTTTATACATTCAGTTTTTCCTCATTGAGTGTTTTTGGTAGAGAAGTGATTATTGCAGGAAATTAACATTTATATGTTTGTTAAACTGAATAAATCCCTTTGTCAAGTTTTCCTTTTATTGTTTTCCCTAGTCAGACTTTGCATTTCAGGCACATCTTTTACTATGTAAAAAGCAAACAAACAGATTTTTGTGCAAAACAGGCAGAGTAATAGAATTTAGAATAAGGCTTTAATGGATAAAAACACGTTGAAAAGGAGCACAGAAACCTTCACCCCTTTTCCCACTATAGCAGCATTCACTTTCATTTGTCTGTGTCTAGCCAAGAACTTTTTCTTCTCTTTGATTGGTTCATGTGGAGCAGGTCAGAGGAATGTATCACTACATGAAAAGGAAGTGTGTTCCTGCAGTGGCTTCCTAAAGCAGCCAAAGGTTCCTAGAGGAAGGAAAAGCAGCCCATTGTTTTCAGCAGTTGTTTCCATTGGCCGATGCAAAGGATGTGGGAGGGGGTTTTGAGGGTTTTTATGTAAACAGCCAAGACAACCTGAAGAACATTTTTCAATGTCAACATTAGGGTGCACTTTATATAATTAAAGAGGGTCACTCACACGTAATACAATTACTCATTTTTATTTTACATAAAGCATAACCGCAATAAATTGTTAGCCTAAACTAAAGGTTTTTAATTAATTTAAATTATTCATTGCTTCACAATTTCTTCTGTCTTTAGAGTGGTAAATCATGAGGGGGAAGAGCTAAAAGACTCCAGTGTTGGATTAAAAAATAACTTTATAAAACTCATACACTAGACAGTTGAGTACATAGTAGTGTTGTCAAAAGACCCGGTATTTCGGTACCAAGTCGGTACTAAAAAAATGAAAACGTTACGGTACCAGGTTTTTTTAAGTACCGGTGGTACCGAGGAAAAGTTATATTTTAGCTGGTGTCAATTATCTTATGTTGCATTTGGTCAGACTAGTCTATTGCTTTACTTAATTATATTATATTTTCCTTTTACAGCTGCAGTCTGAGGAAGATCCTGAAACACACCAGCAAACCCTAAAACAGACAACAGTTTACAGATGTTTTTCAGTGGCAGCAGAACTATGACTAAACTTTTGGGTGAAACTTGTTTACTTTTTTCATACTTTTATTACTTGTGGAAAAACTTGAAACAATTTTAAATAAGTATAAAGAATGGCATTGGTTTTGTACATTTAATTTTTGTTTAACATTATTAATAAAAATGTTGTTCAATTAGCTTGTTTTTGTGTTTTGCTTTGGTACCGAGAACCGTGGATTTTCACTGGTATTGGTACCGAATACTGAAATTTTGGTACCGTGACAACACTAGTACATACTATAAGTGCATAGTGTATAGTATGTCATTTGGGGCACAGTTAATGTAGGGCCCTATGAAATCCATTTTATTTTTTTTCCCCAAATCCTTTTTTACATTTTTTTTTTTTCGTTTTAATTTTTCTGGATTCTGTTTTAATGGTTAAATTAAATTTTACTCATCAAAAAGCATGTGTAATTAATTGAAATCATGAAATTTACAATATTAAACAGCAATTTATTAAAAAGTTTAACAAAAATTACATTTTAAGGTCCTATGAAATGTTTTTTTTTTTTATATAAAATTCAGTTGTTGTTTTTTTTACCACATTTTACCAAAAGCATCTATAATTAATTGATTTTATTTAAAAAATGTGTTGCTTACATTTTTGTGTATTTACATTTTTCTGCTAAATAAATTCTGGTAAATAATTTTTGTTGTAAATATTCCTTTAAAAATAATGTTTTAATAATTTTATTATTAGCTGTAGGACTATCATTACACTAAGTAATATTTGTCACGGGTTTTTTTTTTCCCCCAAGTTAAACCGAAATGTATTTTGATGGGTTGCTTGAAGATCTTTTAAATTTCTCTGTTTATATGATGTGACAATAGTTTTTCTCAAAAGAAACTGTAAAATGCTAATGAAGTGAGTGTGACTCAGAACAGTTTTAGAGATTGTTTGTTTTATGTACTCATATATTGAGGTAGCAGAGGCTGAAAACACAATGAGCGTCACGTGTGCTTCAGTGTGTGTATAGTAAACGAAACCGTGCGTTTGTGCCATTCGTTTACACAGAGAAATGCAGAACATGCTGGATTCATATTTAAATGGTATTTTTGCGGCTTAATATTCACAGACACTAGTCCATATTGCGATTTAAGTGTACTGACCTACTTTTGATGTATCCATCCAAAATTTGTGACAAATTCTGTGACATTCCCCATTATACAGTAAATTCTGTTTTTATGATGGGATTCTTTGATTCTGTCCGCGTTTTCCACATTGCAAAGATCACAGGACCCCTCTAATGACTACTAGTGACTCTGTCATACTGACATTATTCTTTGTTTCTACAGAAGTGGCTCTGAAAGTTCACCTGAGTGACGCTAGCACTCATCAGCCTCTCGCTGGTGTCACCGTGGAGATCTTCACTAACCACACTCCTGTTGCCTCGGATATCTCTGGTGCCGATGGCAATGCCTACATCAGGTTCCCTTATCGCCTTGGCGACCTTCTTGTAGTGACAGCAACCAAGCGTGGCTATGTACCCAACTCCATTCCATGGCAGCCAAACAGGCTTCCCGGTAATGACCTCATATTGGATAATTAATTCTACATGCTCATTAGCTCTGTTTTACATCGAGATTACCTTTCCTGTCATCTAACACTCAAAGTTGGTTTTAAAAACGGGAAAAAATTTAATAACACCATGACATGTCTCACAATCTCAGAATCAATATGCATTTTTCATGCTGTACTTTAAATGTTGCAATGCCTGAATTCACTAGTAGCATTTAGTGTTTTTTTTAATTACATTTGTTTTATTTAAACAGTAAAAACATGGATGTTTGTCTCGCTTTTTTTCTGTTCAACTAAACAGAGTCAGTAAATGTGGAAAAATCTTACTTTTTTAACCGTGTCTTAAAGTGTTGTTTCTTTGCTTTGATGATTGTATTAATGGGATGGATTACTTCTACTGTAACTCTTGGTGACTGACACATCCTTTGGGTCAATTTATAGAGGATCTGGGACAGGAAATGAAAACTAGAGTGGAGCAGGAATGCAGAAAGCTGTTAGAAAGAAATAGAATGTTCCATTACAGCTAATGAGATTAACCTACTAACTAGTTGCAGACACAAGAGAATGCGCCTAAATACCTAAACAGCACAATCACGCAGCTGTTTCAGGGCACTGAGATTGTTTAGTAACACTTTGTGGAGTGAACAGAAGATCATACTCATTCTCCTTGTGCAGATTAATAGCAATAATAAGTCAAGCATCTTCAGAGGAGACATATTGAGATGTTATGGACACGATTCTGAGCTTGCAGGCCTGGTGACTCATCTTCCTAATTATCAGTTTGTTTTTGTGTGTCTGTGTTTTCAAGTCTTCTCATCTCTCAGTCTGGATCTGCTTCCTGAGAGGGCTGCTACTCTGATGGTGTATGATGACGTGGTGCAGATTGTCTCTGGATATCAAGGTAAGAGTTACGTGTTTGTGTGTTGAACAGGCTGTTTTGCTGCCTTTTGTTCTGTAAGTCTTGACATTGTGAACTTAACTAAGTTACGTTTATTTATTTATTGTTATGTGTTGTACACTTTTAATGTTGCTCCTTCATAGATGGAAAAAAAATCGTTACAAAAATATGTTTAATATTTAATACTTTGTGTTTAATAGTTTTATATTTATTTATTTGTTTTCTTTTTTATTTTATTTATCTTTTTGCCCAGTAAAAGAGACAGATTCAACAATATTTGATATTTAATTGGATGTTTAATAGTTAAATGTTTAGTAGTTTTATATTTATTTATTTGTTGTCTTTTTTATTTTATTTATCTTTATGCTCAGCAAAGATTAGAAGAACATGGGTTAAAGTATTCATAATTTTATGTGCTGAACTCTATAATGAACCTTTAATGGTGGTGCACTTTTGTTGTTCACACATGACGATGACACATACACACTGCTTCACTAGGGAATGAAAAGAGTGTGTTAATGAACTACCTGTAATGGAGGAGAAATGTGGAAGAGAGAGTGAAGGTGTGTCTGAAGTCAACGGCCCGACAAATCCCTAGTGTTGTGTGTGTGTGTGTCTGTGTGTTAGCATCGTTTAGCTTCATGTTCATATATTGTCCCTTTTATTCTGCTATGTAAACAATAATCAGTATTTTGTCTTGAAGGGAAAAAACGTTGTTAGATAATAAGAGTTTTAACTAAACTAAGTGGGATTTATGTATAATACAAGAAAAAAAATGTAAATGGGGTTAAAAAAATCTGGGGTCATTAAGACTTTTTGTAATACTTTTTTCAGCATTAATTCAAAATGACTGGTAAGACTTTTGCAATTAAAAAAAACTGTTTCAAATAAATCCTGTTCTTTTGAACTTTTTATTTGTCAAGTGATCCTGAAAAAAATATATCATAGTTTTCACAAAAAATATTAATCAGCACAAACGTTTTATTATTATTATTATTATTATTATTACGGATTATGCATTGAAAATAAGAAATGTTTCTTGAGCACCAAATCAGCATTAGAAAGATTTCTAAAGGATCATGTGACACTGAATACTGCAGTAATACTTGTAGTAATTTCTATAACAAAAGAGAAGGACACTGCAGGATTAAACTAGTGATAACATTTCCTTTAAGGGACCATATTTCCCCCTTTAAATTTATTTCCAGAAACGTATATTCGCAAATTATCTAGCCTTATTAAATATATGCATAATTTTCCACAGTTCATTGGTAAAATAGAGCAAAACAGTTACTGACAATATTGTGTCTTATGAAGTCAGATTATATTAACTTGAACATGACTTTATTTATTTATTTATTTTACAATTGTTTAAAGTATAAAATAGTGATCTTAAAAGGAGGACAAATGAGCATCTGGCTCAAGCCTGTGCTGGTAGACAGGCATGATATTTTAAAACCGGAATGTCTGACACAAAACCAGAAGAATGGCCACCTATCGCAAGAATAAATGAATAAAAATTCTATCAAAAAACACAAAAAATATTCTCTGCAAGGTCTGAGCTGGGCCATACTGATCTGCTTCTTAAGGAAATCTATATTGTTTTAAAGGATATTTAGACATTTTTACTGGAAAACAAGACAAATACTGAGAAGAATAATAAAAATTTCCATTGAATTGTTTGGGTAACTGTGTCATGTGGCAAGTGTAATGAGAATCATTTTGTACTGTTGTCCACGTGGCTCATGAGACTTCATGCTAATTAAAGCTTCCTGTGTGACTGTGATACCAAACTAAAATGAGAGGCTGTACACACACTCACACACACACAAACACAAGAATGAGAAGAATTTACCTCAAACCAATCTTTCACATTCCTTGTTTTTTGTCTCCCTGTTACCCACATGTGCTCTTTTCTTCCTAGCTTACACTGTTTTCCTTTGCCCTTCCTCCTAGCAACCTCTTTCTTTTGGGAACCTGTCCCTCGGTGTGTGTGATATTTCGGGAGAGAAGCATGTTTATGGGTCTCAGGGGAACTCTAACGCTGCACTCTCATTCAAAGCGTCGCCCCAGTCCTGTCCCCTAAAAACACTCAATCACCACACGCTTGTAACAAAAGCAGAGCCTCGGCTGAAACACACACACACGTGCCACAGATCTGCTAATGTGATCCTCCACTTGGGGATGTTTATCTCACACTTTCACCTGTCGCTCAGAGGTCCCATCTCTGTCCACCAAAGCATTTTCAAACAAAACACCTCTCATATTTCATCAGGTGTGTGTGATGTGCATAAAAGGCTCTTCTGAAGAGAAGGGTGTAGCTAAAGAAAAATAAAAAGTCTTAAGTGAGACAGAAAGCAATGATTATTTTCATGGTGATTGTTTTCATGGATAAATGGCTGATAAAAAATAAATTTCTACCATATGTTGTCTAAATAAATGAAAAATAAAGCACTAAATATTAAAATCAATTGTTTTAAATGCTACAAGTAAATGTAGTAATCATAATATTATAATGTACAGTATGAAATATGGATATTCATTTTGAGATTTGCTAAAGATTAAATGTAATGCTGTTATTAAATTATTGCAGTTTTTAAAATCAACTGTGAGTGTTAGATGGCAAAGGTAAACAATGTGATCACGCACAATGAAATATCAGTATTGGCTGTTATTGTATAAATGTTTGAAAATCTGATATCGGCTAGTAACCAATATTTTACTTGTACATAATATTTTACTTTCTTTTTTTTTTCATTTCAGTTCAGTTCAATTCAAGTGAATAACTACTTTTTTTCAGAAAGGATGCATTACATTGTGACAGTTACATTGTACATGTTACATTTCTTAAAACATGGATCATGATTTCTATTTCTAAATTCTTTTTTTCTATTTATAACTTTTATAACGTTCTATTCATCAAAGATTCCTGGAAAAAAATATATCACCATTTCCACAAAACTATTAAGCGGCACAACTGTTTTAAACCTGGATAATGATGAGAAATGTTTCTTAAAGGTGGGATAAGTGATTTCTGGTAGCCAATGTTGATATTTCAAATCACCAAAACAAACACGCCCCTACCCCAAAAGGGTCTCGCCCCTATTTTGATAGCTCCGCCCCACACATGTATACATACGCAACCCAGGCAACGATTATGGCGGAATCTGCTGTGCCAGCCGGTCGAGGGTATGATGTCATCAATAAGTAAAAGCAATGTGTGTTACTATGGTAATATAGGTCGAATGTGTTTTGGTAGTACTGTGTTTTAACGTGCATATATGTGTTTTAACAGCATATAATAGTTCTGTGAAACAAAGCAACACCAATGTTACTCACCTATCGAGAAGAAACAAAGCAACCTCGGTGTCCGATCGCAGGCCTTCCCGCTCCTTGACTTCTCTCCAGCGCTGGAAAGCTGATCCGATATTTACACGGGTCCTACTTCTTGCCTTATCGTAAGCCTTCTTTTGTTCCGCAGACGTTTTCCTCTTTTGTTTTTTTATCCGCCATCTCTATCTTTCTGTCGTCGCTCGGCTAATGTCCATCCTGTGCACTGAGCGCTCTCTCGTCCCCATCCTGAGTAGACACGCCCCACTGCTGATTGGCTACAAGTTTGTTTTGGTACTCGGCCCGGCTCAGTTTTCTAAAGCGTTTTTGAAAAAATACATACCCCACCTTTAAGCACCTGTGATTCAGCTTTTCCATCGCCGCAATGAATTACATTTTACAATATATTAAAAAGACAGCTATTTTAAACCAGAAATTGTTTTACGAACCACAAACTATTGAACAATAGTGTATTGTGCACCCCTAGTACTGAAGGTCTTGCTTTGGGAGTTATGTTGGTTTAGTGGGGTACTAAGGACCATGTGGGCCATAGCTTAGTCTCATGTCTATGGTATGTAAGATATGCCACAATGGAAACATAATGACCTCATCGATCTCAAGAGACACACGCTGCAATACCAGCACTCCATCAGCTACTGATCCATTCCATTTACAAGGAGAGAGAGATGAAAGAATGGAGTTGCATGTATTATGTCATGGATATCAGGTCATTAACCTAATGTATGCTCATTTCTGCCTTCTTATTTTGTTGTTTGTGTGTGCGTTTAAATCTGTAGGTTCAAAGCTGCAGCCATGGGTGCAGTTCCAGAGAAGAGCATTGAGTCTTCCTTCTAATGCAACCTACACCAACCTGACCGCCTTCCTCACAGTGAGCAGTTCAACACAAGACACGCAGTACTTCCCCTACCTGCAGGGGCTTCATCCCAACTACGCAGGTAACACATTAGAGAGCTAGGAAGACTAGGGTCGGCATTACATCCAATTTTAGTAGTCAATACCAGTGAAAATCAACATATGATATGATAAGCTGTTGATTGAATATTGCCAAAAAAATTATGCATTTAATTTGCATTAAATATTTAAATGTGTTAAATATTTAATGAGCATTAAAAAAGTGTAAATGGGGAATGCTACTTTTACTTTATCTTAAAGTTATTTTTACTCTGAATTGATCAGTACTGCTTTCAGAATAACAGCTTTTTAAAAGAATGTTGTTCAGCTCTGAATAATTAATTGTTAAACCATTACAGAACAAGTTTTGTCATCCATAATGATGATTTATGCTGCAAACGTGAGTGCACTCTAAAATTAATGAAACGTATTTTCTGCTGTGGTCATGATTAAAATGGATGGCTTGTTATGTCTGTCTGATACTATATATTTTAGATGACTCATTATCAATATTTAATATAGGTCAACAAGTAACATCAAGGGTGGATCCAACAAAGTATTAAAATTGTTTCTTGTACAGAAGTGGAAAAATGTCTTTAAAGTCAAACACTGAAATGTATTAACATTGTAATAAAATTCATAGATCAAATGATCAACTTCTTTCAGCAAAGATGCATTAAATTGATCAAAATTAACAGTAAAGATAATGTTACAAAAAATTTCCTTTTTTTTTTTTTAATCTTTTGAACGAAAAAATGTATCGCACTTTTTACAAAAATGTTAAGCAACAATTAATATAATATAACATTTTCCTAAGCAGCAAAACATATTAGAATGATTTCTGAAGGATGATATGACAATGAAGACTGGAGAAATTATGCTGATCATTCAGCTTTGCCATCACAGGCATAAATTACATTTTGAAATACAATAGTATTTCACAGTGTTACTGTTTTTACTGTATTTTAATTCAAATAACTGCAGTCTTGGTGAGCATAAGAGAGACTTATTTCAAAAACAATAAAAAAAATCTTACCGCCTTACCGGTAGTCTATAGTATATTCTTTATTTGTCTTTTTTCTCACCTTGTTTGTATCTTTTATGCATACTCTTTCTCTGATAGGCGTTGATCGAAAGTTCGAGTTGACTCCTATAGCTGCTATCAGTGTCCATCTTTTGGGAAGCGATGGGGCGGAGCTTCATGTCAGTGAGCCAATCAGTGTGAGCGTTCCTCTTCCTGCAAACAGTGGCTTGAAAGAGAATGATCACATCCCCGCATGGAGGTTTGACCCTAAACTGGGTGAGTTTATAACACACATTCATCTTATAGTAGATATTAAAGCATTCCTGTTTACAGCCTCTGTGAACATAAATCACATGAACTGTTACTAACAAATTACAATTAAAGGGTTATGCAATGAATTGTTACACCAGAGGTGCTAAAGGTGCTTCCTGCCCGAGGCGAGTTTACTCGTTGTTTGTATGTGAGGTTGTGATTTCTTCAAAGCCTTTAGATTTCCTGTCTTCCTGGTTTCTGAGGTGAATAAGTCCAAAGGAAGTGTTCAAACCTGAGCTGGGTGGGAATGTTATCAGATGGTTTTTGAATCTTTCTGACGGAATTTTAATGGACCCATTTCCCAACTCTCTCACACACAAAGATAATATTTTTCAGGACTAAATTCTTTAAACAAAAAATAAGTGAAATTTTCTTTGCTTTTAAAGTAGGGTCACCACAAAAAGTCTTAACTAGCCAAGTAAAGAGACATCCTGTAAAGTTGCTGCTTTTTGCTGTAATTTTTTAATTTTTCATTTGTAATTTTTTTTGAGATTATACAGATTTCCGTGATGAAAAGGGAAATTGTTCAGTAGGCAAATACTCATAATCAAATATTCAAATAATAGACAAACACAATAAATCTGTTCCAAATCAAATCCAAGTCATAAGGGGCTTTCACACTGTGGCTTTCATTTCTAATCCCAGACTGAGGTATAATTCACAGCCAAAGTGTTTTGAATTTTTAACAGATATCATAAATGCATTGCTTTAAAAATGTTACATTAGTGAACATCTATGGAGTTTCTTAATCATCCAGGTTGCTTTGAATTAGTTGTGGATGACAAGCGACACTGTATTTCTCTTATATTTGATAATCTAGAGTTACTTTTTGGCTTTTCTGTTGTTTATCTGCTGGCTTGTTTTTGGCTTAAGTGTGAAGTAACACTGGAACAGTCATCTCTTAATGCTTTAATTGTCTGGAGCGCTTTGTCTCTGTGAGCATATACAGAATTTGTCCCACCATGATCTGACAGACAAAGGTCTTTACCTCATAAATCTAAACTCGGAATATCCCATAATTTCCCAGTGGTATGATAATCATTGCCGTAATTGCAGCCCAGAGCCAATCTGGTCATTTCTTCATTTCAGACTAAATTGACGCAGGATTCTCAAAAACAAACGCATTAAAACTTTTTTGCAATAACTGTTTGGGTCACATGAGGTGATCTTATACAATACCAGTCTTTTGAAACATCCTTTGTTGATTTGAAAAAAAAAAAACATGTAGTTGTGTACATCTCTAAACATATCCACATTTAGTATGTATTTCAGTGGAGTTTAGACGTATGTAAAGAATATCATATACTAAAACTAGACATTTAACCTGTATATACATGTCTGTGGCTTTAAAGCTGAGGTTTAAAGCCACATTCAGTGTCCTCTGGCGGGAAACGCTGACTGTTTTGACCGCTGGTGTGATTTATGATGCGTTCAACAAATCTGGAGGCTTTGCCGCAGAAGCTTGAGACTCAGTTCAGCTCGCTCACACTCCTGCAGCAGGCTGGAAGAATCCAGTGTTGTGTGCAAGAGGCAGGAACGGGCAGAGGTGGATCAGAATATGTGCATACAGGATCTTCAATGAGTTCTCTGTAAGCTGTGTTTTGAATGTCTATTCAGCCAACCTGTAAGCTGATCATTATTTTCATATTGATATTAAAATTAAGATTATTTATAGTATTTTGTCTGAAAAAAAAAAGTAAAAACTAAAATGTATTCATGTTTAATGCTAAAAGTGAATTTAGGCATCACAACATAATGTACAGTATGAAAAATGAATATTGATTATGAGATTTGCTGAAAATTACATTTAACAGTGTTATTCAATTATTAGTGATTAAACAAGCATTAGATGATAGAGAAAGTTCTCTAAATGTAAAAATAGGGGAAATGAGCATGAATATATATATCTGCATCTAAATCAGATCGTGCAGAAGGACAGGAAAGAGACAATGTAAGACGAAGTACTAAGGGAAACCCTTTTCAGAATTCATAACTTCTCTGGACTGCTCTGTTATCACTGTTGTCTCCTAGCAGCCTCTCATAAACAGAGCAGAGAACGAAGGGGAAAACAGCGGCTAGTGCTAACTCGATTTCCTCTCTTAGAGTTCAGAGATGTAAGCTGCTTTGTTGTCTGCAGTGCACTGTGACACGAGTAGACTGAAAAGCCCCTGGCATCACGCAGCATTTAAATTTCACTGTTCCTCCCTTTTTCTTTTTCTTTTTTAATAAGAGCACTACAATGAAAAATTGTCAGACTCTGCAGCATGGTAAACAAAGTCACCTGGTTTGATATTTGTGTCCATTAGCTGCTTTTAAATGCTCACATTTATCATATTTTATGCTCACTGAGTCTCTGAACCCAATGTAAGTGTTTGTGTGTGTGTAAAATAACGTACTTAATCGCAAGCTTGTTCATTATTCCTAATAATTCTCACTCCAGGCTGAACTCAAAAGCTGGCAGCCCTGTTTGAAGTAAGTTGAAGTTTATGGTTTCCTGAACAACATTTAAAAAAATTCAATGTAGCATACAAGTTAATGTTAGATCTTTTGCTCCAACCACTGGTTAATGAGATGATAGAAATAAGAGAAATAATTTCCAATAGACTAATATTTGAAGTTACGGTATGTTTAACTAATGTAGGGTAATATGAAGTAATCAGCAATCGTAGGTTTTTATCCATGCTTTTTTATACCAGGTTGTAGGTATACACTGATTTTCTGTTATGGTCTATGGACCCCCTGAATTAGCCTTGGCCACCCCATGTATAAATCTCTAGCTCCGCCACTGCTTATGTGAACCATGTAGTCACCAGTGCAGTGTGTGATTGCTTGTCTGGCACAGATCAGATCAATAGAAGCTCTGGTGCTCATGGAGAAAAAGCAGAAATATTATAACCTTACAACAACAAATGCTGAATTCCCTCTCATTGTGATCTATAATCTACTACACTATACAGACATTTGATTGTTCTTCCTTACCTACGTTCTTTTTTATTTTCTCAATATTTTCTTCATTATTTAGTATATAATAATCATAATTCATAATCATAACCATAATCATTCCATCAACATACACTGCCACCAAGTGGCAACAAATGACCCCATCCTCAAATGTGTACCATTTATATACCAGCTTGGTAAATTCAACATGTGCATTCATTTCACATGGTAAATGTAGTTAAAACTCTTGGAAATGGAAATACTTGAATTTGAATCATGAATCCTATTTGAAATGTTCACCTTAATTGGGAATCCTGATTCCTGTGGTTTGAGTGGTGTGTGTTGGCATGGCTTTAATCCCTGTCTGACCCTGTAAACAATTGGCAAAGCATCCAGACAGAATAATGCAGTAGAAAGTCTAATGAATGCACTGTAAGTGATCAATGGAGAAAGCTGATAGGATGTCCATATGGTGTGAGTGTTTTGAGTGTTATCTGCACTGCCTGGTCTCAACGCTCGACTCAGATCACCTGCTGACCGCAGACTAAAGTCCTAAAGACTGAGGGTTTTATTCCCTTTGTCATTAATTATTGTATTTGGTTGTACTATAATTGTGATATTGCTGACTATCCATAATGTACATTTTACAGGTTAAATAACAAAATGTAATGTGAATATCATATCATTTAGTTTTAATTTGTTTTGTGTGTTTTGTGTGTCTGTGCAGGGGCCTGGTTGAAGAGCAGTCTGGGATACGTCCAGAGAGAGGGGAAACAGTTAACTCTCACATACATTGCCCCTCAGCTTGGCTATTGGGTCGCAGCCATGTCTCCCATAAACACAGGTAACACTCATCCATTTCTGGGCATTTTTCTGTTTCTCTATTTTGTTTAGATGACTCTGCATTCTTTGACCCTTTTATTTGGCCATTAATAGAGAGAGGAGCCCATCGGGCAGACATACAAGTGCTTTGTGGCAGACTGAGTTATTGACTTCTGTAGTTGTTTGCACATTCACTGTGCTATTCATATCCACCAGCTGAGAGAATAATGTCATTATGTTGGGGGATTTTAGGCCGACATGAAAATGATGTTTATAGGAAATCTCTCCTGTTGAAAAGTGTTATCGATGGATGCTGTAAAGTGGAGGTCAGGAGGACAGTGAAAATGTGAATAGTGTGAAGTGAACAGGATGGATGGGTTCTTCTGTGATAAACTCCAAGTATGTATTTTTTTGCTGTAGGTCCAGTGGTGGCGAAGGACATTAGCACTTACCACACAGTCTTCCTGCTGGCCATACTAGGAGGCATGGCCCTGATACTGCTCTTCCTGCTCTGTCTGCTGCTCTACTATTGCAGGTGTCTTTTTTTTGTCAGAGGAAGTACAAAGTCTCTTAAAAACAGTGTGCATTTACTGTTAAACTGTAACATAGTAACTAGGGGTGGGCGATATGACCAATGTCTTATATCACGGTCTTTGACATAAATTTTTGATGCCATAGAAATTTCATAGTTCTTGTCACCAGTGTCAATATCACAAAAAAACTCAAGCTCACTGAAGACAAGTAAACAGTCAGTGATTAAATAAGAATAAGAACCTAATTAAAACCTAATCTAAAATCCATTAAATAGGACAAAAAAAACTACAGTAAAACAAATAAAAAATAAATGCTACATACATTTTATAAAATAATTATATGTATAGAAAACACTGCATATTCTTCACTGTACAAATTAAATATATATTTCTTATTAAAGTTACAAAAGTGAATTAGTCAAGAGCAGTGGGAGATTTTCTCTTTTTTTTTTCTTTTTCTTTTTTTTTTTGATTAACATGAATGACA